AGAAAATAAACATTAGGGAGTTTAGTCTTTTAAAAACAGTCCTAAACCCTACAGCCATGTTTGACATCAACATGTGTATCCATGGAAGTTTTGGGCAACCAGCAATAATTGAAACAGCATTCAGGATTTCTCAGCCAGAAAGCAAGGCATATAAGAAACAAATAGGCAGCATCACTCTTGCTACATCCTAATCCCAGAAGTGCTACTGTCATGGTGCTTGCATAAAATGCCAATGTATAGTTCACTAAACCACAGTTTAATCTGTTAACTATATTGCTTGGGTCCATACATTATCTAGGATATTGTAATTTAAGTACATTGGTTGGACTTAAATAAAACAAATCAGCCAGCATCATTTTAACTCAGGCACAAAGAAACCAGTTCCTCAACTCCTTCTTGGACAATGGTGTTCATTAAACCCCCTTCTTTCTTTCTTCCCATTAAGCTGTTTCTCTCTTGCCTTATGCTTCTGTTGTATTCCAGCCAGCCATCTGGCCGTTTGCCGTTTCCTAGGTGGCTGTACTTCAACCCTACATCTTCTTACTTCTAACCCACAATCATCTCAAAGGAACATATTTTGTTAAAGATTAAGAAGTTACATTTTACACAACAGCTATGGTATGTGAAATATTTAATGATTTTACAGTTAATAAGTTATATTACCCCACCAATTCTTTCCTGAAAAATGTGTAGGTGCCCATCAGATATGAACTAGTATTTTGGGTTGAATTAATTGCAATTTTAAATCTATAAAAATGTAACTGACTGGATGCAAATATGATTTCACTGCTTTTCCATTGCTGTTTATGTACCAGATTCCTCTACTGTCACCTAAATCAGGAGTCCCTAACCTTTTGGGCACCAGGGACCAGTTCCATGGAGGGCATTTTTTTTCTGCAGATGGGAGTGTATGTGGTTCGCACCTCGCTTGACCTTTTGTGAATGCTTAAATGGGGCTTTACTCATTTGTGTGGCCTGATTCCTGGCAGGCCTTGGACTGGTGCTAGTCCACAGCCAGGGTTTAGGGACTCCTAACCTAGATGGTTAGTGACCCAAGTCCTATTTATAAAGAAGACTGCAAACATCATGAAAATAATATAGATCTTGCACAGTTGTTGGACAGGCCTGTACAAAGCCAGATAGATGATTGACAAAGTAAGAAAAAAAAAACAGGATTATGAAGGAATAAAGGAACAAAAATAGCTTCACACAGACTCATTGTTACAGTCAGGGGTGGGATTCAAAATTTTTAACAACCGGTTCTGTGGACGTGACTTAGTTGGTGGGCATGGCTTGGTAGGCATGTTATTGGCTGGGCATGGCCAACTCAATATCACTCACCTCGAGGCATGCATCTCCTCGCCTGGCCTCTCATGACTGTGGGGATGCTGCAACAGTTGAAAGTGTGAAAAATGGTCATGTCACTTTTTTCAGTGCCATTCTAACTTTGAATGGTCACTCCACACAAGCCAAGTACCAGCAAAGGAGGGGAAAAAAACTCCAGAGAAGTTCCAGAGACAGGAAGTCTAGTCCTGCCAAGAATGTAATAAGAGTTAACGGAGAGGCAGTTTCTGTAAGCAACACCAGAATGTTTCCTTCCTGCCTTCCTTACAGGATTAGGGCAGTAATTTCTTCTAACAACCGGTTCTCTGAACTGCTTAGAATGTTAACAACCAGTTCTAGTGAATAGGTGCGAACTGGTGGAATCCCACCCCTGGTTACAGTTAACATTGATACTTTCTCATTGCACAGTGCTTATGTTCAACCTTGATGTACAGATATGAAGTTTTGAATACAGGCATCTTCCATGGCTGAATGAAATTTATCAAGAACATACAATATATTTTAGCAGCTTATCCACATTCATCATAAATTACCTCCTGCCGCTATTTATTCATTTTAGAAAATCGCTAAATATTTGTAAGACCTAAAATACCATCAAGTGGTCAGGCAAAGCCATGTTTCAAAAGAGAAGAGTGCCTTCCTATGAAAAGAAGAAAAGAAACATTTCCAAAGTCCAAAGATGGTTGTGGTAGGAAGCTTTCACCTGTAGGAATCTCAGCAGGCTTCTTAATATTAAAAATGTAATTCTTACATATGTTATAATAGCAATAGCATGTAGACTTATATATTGCTTCACAGTGCTTTATAGTTTATAGCCCTCTCTAAGCAGTTTACTGAGTCAGCCTATTGCCCCCAACAATCTGGGTCCTCATTTTACCGACCTAGGAAGGATGGAAGGCTTGAGTCAACCTTGAACGTGGTGAGATTCGAACTGCCAAATTGCAGGCAGCCGGCAGTTCGTTCATTCGTTTGTTCATTCATGCATGCATGCCTTCATTCATTTCATTCACTCATTCTTTTCCCTGACTGCCCAGGTTGGCTGTCCTTATTTGACCAGTACAAGAACTGTATAAGGTTGGGCTGAGAAAGTACAACTGGCACATAGCCACTCCTGGCACACTGACATTCCATGGTAAAATAATTTGCGAAGATTTTAGCATAAAAAGTAGCCCTTAACATATTGAAATGATGACTGCAAATGCCAATCAACCTGTTGCAAAAGTTATACCATCAGCAGACTGGTCATCATTCTTGTTCGTGGAAATAGGATGCTAAATTATGCCACTTGCAAATATCTCAGCCATTCAATTAGTTCAATTAGCTCCAGTCTTTTGACTTACGGCATATCCGGTCTGGCTGTCCAGTGTCCTAGAGCATTTCTGGCGAGAGTCAGAATGCCTACTTAGTCTATTAACTCATTAGCTCATTTGTGGAAAACAAAAAAAGCGATGCAATGAGATGGGGGATAAAAAAAACAAACTAAAAAGAGATGCTACTTTAATTGGAGCCAGCAAGTCACTTCTCCAAATCCACTTTCCCTTCCTGAGCTTCAGACATTTTATTCTGATCTCTGCTGAATTAAAGCAATAGAAATCTGAATAATGTTGCCTGGCTGAGAATATTTTGTCAGTGTTTATTCACTGCTTCCGGGCATTAGCGTTGCTAGGAATCCCTAGTAAGCCCAAACCTTTTGCTTTAAAATCCACATTCTATTTCAGACACAATTAAGTAGAACAACAGTGATTAGATCCTATATTTGGATATTTGGAACTGTTCAGAAAAATCCACTTTGTCTCTGCTTCCATCAGAACATGTTTTTTCTACATATGCATACATTTTGATACTAAATCAAGGCTGGCAGTTTTCCTGATTCTGTAAGAGTCTTTCTTCTAATCACCTCATTTTCACATATATATCCAGTTCACCCAAGACAAAACACACAACACACTGAAAATGTTTATAAAGTGGCCTGTACCAAACCCTAAGCAATGAGAGCATGTACGTATATGTGTGTGTGTGCGTGCGCATGTGTGTAAAATGTATTTTCCACTGTAGCTTAAAAATCATAACAAAAAAGCATCCTTCTTTCAATACCATCCTACCCCTTCGAGTTTTCTCCCTATATTATGAAGATCTAACAGGACAGAAATTAGCTTTAAACAATTGAGTTAATGGGGTGTTTACTGGGACTTACTGTCAGCATAAACCAGGACAAACTGTCTTTAGTCATCAAGTCTGTTTAACTATGATTAAGCCCTGCTGGGGTTTGCAGTCCTTATCTCTCTGCAACTACTGAATCCGCTGAGAAAATAGCAGGGCTGGGACTAAATTTGAAGTCTGCAAGCCTTGAGAACTACAAATTATTTTTCTTTTGTTGGGCAAGTTGGCAAAATATAGAAACACTGCACAAGAAAGATAGCTGTCACAAAGACCCCTATAAAAAAAAGAGGTGGCTTTGAAAATAAAACATAGGAGTTTGGTAAAATGGAACAGCTATCCAGTCCCCAATCCAAGAAACAAATAGTTTGAACTGTAGCTAATTGGCAAACTACAGATTTGATGTACCTTGTTTACATATATTTCATATGCAGGTGGCGTAAACAGTGGAAATGCTTTTGATGTTCCAAATTGAGATGGTTTACAAGTTCACTTTGCATACTTTATTAAGGACTCTTGTTGCTAAAACACTGAGGATGAATTAAAAAAAATTAGAAAGTTCATTTGCAAAATGAAATTGTTTTGAATGACAGGTTTGTGGTAAACATGATGAATCATATTGGTCTCCATAAGTAAAGAAAGTTTCCATTCTCCACGTATAATAATAATAATCCAGCTGGAGAAGCTCATATTAATGAGGGCTTTTATTATTATTAAAAATCAAGTGATAGAACTTGGCATGAAAATGAAGTGGGTTATTACTACCCAGGTAAAACAAGCTGTTGTAAATTGGTATGAATGGATTAATTCTTAAAGTAAGAATCTATCTTTAAGAAAATTGGTTGTCTAAAAACTATTGCAGGATGGTTCCCAGAGACTTGGAAACAAAAGAAGGCAGGAGTCCAACTGGGAACAGAAACGGGAAGGCATCCAGAGGTGCCTCATGGATTTACATAAAAGTTTGGGTTAATCTCTCCCATTTGCTTGGTTCAAAATTAGCCAGTGAGCTCTGCAGAGGATTGTGGTCTGAATTCTGGTATTCCAGTTGAATTCAGGGCCAACTACTGCTTTTCTAGTCTTGATGCAAATAAGTATATACATTCCCATATTGTTATATGGATAGCCAAGTACAGGTTGTAATTGCTACAGGTTGTAATTTCTTGCAGGTGCAGGTGTGCACCTGGCAAAAATAATAAAAATAAAGAGATAGAAAGATGATTTCCACTAAAAATAATTAGACTGCAGCTTCAGTATATTGTTCTAAGAAGTCAATTCAACAATGCTTAAGATTGAGGGGCGGATGTGGGTGGATGGGGGAAATAGATAGTCCATTGAAAACTGCTGGGCAATACACCATTTACAGTATATTTTCCATATAAAGGAAAAGAAAACACCATCAACTCAGTATCCATCTTAGCTTTTGAATTATAATAGTTTATTTATGCATTCTTATTGGTTAGAAAAAGTGTTTTTTTTTAAAAAAAAAATAAAGGATTTGGCTGTGTTGCAAAGCTCTATATTTTAAAAATTGTGGAGACCGTGTCTTTCCTTGGAAGTTTAGGTGGCGGGATTTTAGGTAAGAGCTCTTGAGCATAAGCTGTGCTATGAAGTCCAGCATCTCGGAGGGCCAGCTCAACACGAACTCGGGTGTCAGACATTATCTGGATAAAAATGATAATACAAGATGTTAATACAAGCCTCGTGTAATAAATTGCTACAGTTAGAATCAATTGTATGGATCAAGAACATGGCTGCCCTTCTGGTATTAGGTAGACAATTTGATGTAATTGAAACCAGTTATTCTAATCTCCCCTATTTTTTAAACTCTAATTCTTAACTTTTAAAAGTTAATTCCTATTTCAAATTAGTTACTGTAATTCTTAGTGTTTATTATACAACCCTTTCCCTAGATTTCAGGCTGATTTCAGCTATTTCATGCCTTCGGATTTATGTTCTTAGCTGCTTTTTAATTATGTTGCACTTATCCTGTTTTGTACATTTTTTTCAATGTACACTTTTAATCTTTATGCTTCTAGAATACTTTTTACTGATTTACTCTATCAAAGTCTAAGTTTCGTTATATTTGTATTAGTATGTACAGTATACTGGTCTTAGGTGGCAACAATTACAATTTGATTTGAATCAGTAGAAATGCTATTTTTGAATACGATCTGAACCACTGGCTTCTCCTGTAAAAATCAACTGGTGATTTCCAATGTCAACTTGCGCCTTACCACTCCAGAAGCACATAAAATGGGCTTTCCTGGTGTCTACTTCCAAGTTCTGGAACTCTACCAAGGAGGCCAGAGAAGTCACATTTTTCTTGTTCTTTTGCTTCAAGCTTTTCATGCAAACAATGTTTGGGTTCACAGATTGCCCTAAACTGTGATGAAGTATGCTTGGTTTTGGCTTAATGCATGGCTATTTACATAAGAATGCCAATCTGCTGCACAAGCTACACACCTGCTCATCATTGAATGTATGCAACACAAACAGAGGTTTCTGTAGGATAAATTCTTCTTCAGTTCCAATACCCATCCGTGCCTTAGAGGCCACTGTATCAGCCACCATCCTAGCAGGATCAAATTCTGCCACAATAGCAACCTGAAGAAGAAAGGAAGTAGGGACAATTATACTCCTGCTTTTCCCACTTCCTTAAATAAGGCACAAAAAATATCTAAAATTATCAGAAAATTATAGTCTAAAAATAATTAAAAAGGCAATTCAAATCTGAGAACTTCACCTGTGTGCAGGACACCCCTACCACAATCTATCCAGGTGGTCCAAGAAGGTAACCATATTGCTAAGATGCCTAGTAAAACCACCAAGAATAAGATCTGCAGTTGGGCTTCTGATGTAGATCATGCATCAGAGGTGATCAAGACTCTGTCAGTACTATGATCTAGAAATTCAAATTTCCAAATCTGGAAATCAGATTGAAATTGATAAAGGTAAGACTTTAAAAATAATAACCAGCATTTTCAACTAACTTCAGAATATAGTGACAGCCAATACCTTGTGGATCTAGAAGTCACATGGTCCAATTATTTACCACATCAGCATTTGAGCAGTCATATTTTGCAACAGTTGAATTTGCTCAGTTATCTTCAAAGGCACCATTATATATATGTCCAAACTAATTCTCAGAACTATATAAAAAACTAAGCCTAGATAAGTTTATGTCAAACTGATGTCATAACATGGTTTGACATAAGAGCAGTACAGGGAGTCTTTGACTTATCACCACAATTGAACCCAACTTTCTGTTGCTAAGTGAGACAATTGTTAAGTGAGTTTTGGAATAGAATGGAATAGAATTCTTTATTGGCCAAGTGTGGTTGGACACACAAGGAATTTGTCTTGGTGCAAATACTCTCAGTATACATAAAAGAAGAGATACATTTGTCAAGAGTCAAGAATCATCAGGTACAACACTTAATGATAGTCATAGGGTACAATAAACAATCAAAATACTAGGAAACAATCAATATAGATCATAAGGATACAAGCGACAAAGTTACGGTCATACAGTCACAAGTGGGAGGGGATGGGTGATAAGGAGTGATGAGAAGATTAACAGTAACAGTAGTGCAGACTTCGTAATAGTTGAACAGTGTTGAGGGAATTATTTGTTTGGCAGAGTGATGGCTTTCGGGAAAAAAACTGTTGTTGTGTTTAGTTGTTTTGGTGTGCAGTGTTCTATAGCATCATTTTGAGGGAAGGAGTTGAAATGGCTCTAAGGAGAAATGTGCCACAGAATGGACTTCAGATCATGAGAGATGACTGAACTTGAGTAAAGCAGAACCCTCAGATTTTTTTTTACCTCAGATTATGGAGTTAAGAGTGGGAAGTCATCTCAAAGATCATCTAAATCTAACGCCTTGCTCAGTTCTGACAGGAGGCTATCCAGCTTTCATCACAAAGTCACCAATGAAAGAGACTATCATTTTATGATTTTTATATGATTTACAAATCTCATATTTATCCCATCGATTGTTTCACCCATATCATTAATAAAAAGTGTTGAACAGTGCTGCGCAGAAACACAGACGTGTATCATTCTACTTATTACTTTATTCTACAAGCTGGTGTGAAGCCATTTAGGCATCATCCAGGCAATAATTAAACCATCTAACAGTTGCACCTTCTGACCCATATTTTCCCATTTTATTATGGAGGGCATAAGGGGAGACTTCATTACATCAGTTTTCCAGTCTATCAAGAAGTGATACCGGATATTTTTTCCCATTTGGTTAGCATTCTAAACTAAGCATGATGACAAATAAAAAATTACTTCCCTTCCTTCAATTTGTACCATTTTAACTGGCACATATACCAAAAGAATGCAGGAATTGGCTTTTTTAAAAAAAACTTTATAACAAATGAAAATAGACCAGAAAGCACTGACAGTGACTAACAGTTTTGCTTTCATCTGATGAGTCACCACAGATATTAAAGCAGTGACACGGAGCATTTATGCGGAAGAAGCAAATGTAGTTCACTTTCCAAAACTTTCATATTTGTAGCTGTTGTGGTTTCTTGGAAACACCCTGAGGTAAAATTGTTGGAAGGTTTTCAATTTTTCATCTGCACGGACTGGAGTTCAAAAGCTCATGAAAAAAAGCAACAACAACAACCCGGTGATCAATTGGATGTTTTCCTTAAATATATTTTCTTTAATTAACAATTTAAAATTTCTTGTCATTGTGTAACAGAAGATAGATTTGGGACAATTTATTCATTATTGTACTGTTAACCCATGTTTTCAGATAATTGTTCCCAAAGTGGCTCATACCAATTAAAAAAAAGAAAGATCTTGCCTTTAGGATTATTGTCCCAAAAGATCAAACGTAGGAGGTGGGGTGGGGTGGGGGGGGAGGAATTGGAATGAAAAGAAACAGGGAGATCTGTTTCTCAGCCCCCACCCCACTCCCCGAAAAAAAAAAGACAGAGAAATATGAAGGAGCGATTTATATGCAGCAAAGGCTAGACTGAATTTCCCTTCCTGGATCTATGAGCTTCTTGTTCTTTTGGCCTCTGGGTGAAGCCAAGACCTGCTCCCTTCAATCTGCCTTGTCAGAGCATCCATTTAAAATAAGAGCTATGGATGTCAGGAAGCCGATTTTATGATTCTGAAAATGTAGATAACAACAACCCCCCCCCCCAAAGTATCTCACTTTAAAAGGGACTTCTTAAGTTGCTAGGCAGCCACCATACAAAGAAACATATAGGTTGACCCTGGATTTGCCTGGGTCATCTACCCACTCACTTTCTCTCTTATTTTGCTACATACTGTGTCCCAAATCATTTATGTTGCCAAAATGTTTTGTCCTGCAGTACAGGTGAAACTCGAAAAATTAGAATATCGTGCAAAAGTTCATTTATTTCAGTAATGCAACTAAAAAGGTGAACCTAATATATGAGATAGACTCATTGCATGCAAAGCAAGATAGTTCAAGCCGTGATGTGTCATAATTGCGATGATTATGGCTTACAGCTCATGAAAACCCCAAATTCACAATCTCAGAAAATTAGAATATTGTGAAAAGGTTCAATATTCTAGTTCAAAGTGTCCCCCTTTAATCAGCTAATGAAGCCATAACACCTGCAAAGGGTTCCTGAGCCTTTAAATGGTCTCTCAGTCTGGTTCAGTAGGAAGCACAATCATGGGAAAGACTGCTGACCTGACAGTTGTGCAGAAAACCATCATTGACACCCTCCATAAGGAGGGAAAGCCTCAAAAGGTAATTGCAAAAGAAGTTGGATGTTCCCAAAGTGCTGTATCAAAGCACATTAATAGAAAGTTATGTGGAAGGGAAAAGTGTGGAAGAAAAAGGTGCACAAGTAGCAGGGATGACCGCAGCCTGGAGAGGATTGTCAGGAAAAGGCCATTCAAAAGTGTTGGGGACTTTCACAAGGAGTGGACTGAGGCTGGAGTCAGTGCATCAAGAGCCACCACACATAGATGGATCCTGGACATGGGCTTCAAATGTCGTATTCCTCTTGTCAAGCCGCTCCTGAACAACAAACAACGTCAGAAGCGCCTTACCTGGGCTAAAGAAAAACAGAACTGGTCCCTCTTTTCCGATGAGAACTGAGCCCTCTTTTCCGATGAGAGCAACTTTTGCATCTCATTTGGAAACCAAGGAGCCAGAGTCTGGAGGAAGAATGGAGAGACACACACTGCAAGATGCTTGAAGTCCAGTGTGAAGTTTCCACAGTCTGTGTTGATTTGGGGAGCCATGTCATCTGCTGGTGTTGGTCCACTGTGCTTCATTAAGTCCAGGGTCAATGCAGCCATCTACCAGGAGATTCTGGAGCACTTCATGCTTCCTTCCACACATAAGCTTTATGGGGATGCTGACTTCATTTTCCAGCAGGACATGGCACCTGCCCACACTGCCAAAACCGCCAAAACCTGGTTCAATGACCGTGGAATTACTGTGCTTGACTGGCCAGCAAACTGACCTGACCTGAACCCCATACAGAATCTATGGGGCATTGCCAAGAGAAAGATGAGAGACATGAGACTGAACAATGCAGAAGAGCTGAAGGCCTCTATTGAAGCATCCTGGTCTTCCATAACACCTCAGTAGCGTCACAGGCTGATAGCTTCCATGCCACGCCGCACTGAGGCAGTAATTGCTGCAAAGGGGGCCCAAAGCAAGTACTGAGTATATATGCATGCTTATACTTTCCAGAGGTCTGATATTGTTCTATATACAATCCTTGTTTTATTGATTGCATGTAATATTCTAATTTTCTGAGATTGTGGATTTGGGGTTTTCATGAGTTGTAAGCCATCATCATCACAATTATGACAAATCACAGCTTGAACTATCTTGCTTTGCATGTAATGAGGTTATCTTGTATATTAGTTTTGTCTTTTAAGTTGCATTACTGAAATAAATGAACTTTTGCACGATATTCTAATATTTTGAGTTTCACCTGAATATGTACCTGCGGGCTAGTGGTGTTTGGAGACAAAAAAAACCCTAGCAAAAACTTAGAGCATAAATCAGCCTGAAAGGGAACACAGTTCATGACATATCTAATCAAGTGATGGAGGAAAAAAGACCAAGAAGTGAGCTAGAGAGCATTTTGATTGTGGCTTTCTTTGCTGGCAGTGGATCCGTGTTTTTGTCTTTCTAAAATCCAGATAAGACAATGGTTTTATTGGCTTCAATAATTAAATATATTTCTACATTCTATTGCTGTATCATCAGCAAGAGGAGGACACATGAATAATAAAAGCTATCCAAATGCTATCAACTGCTCAACCTAGAGCTGAGATTAATAACAGCATTCTTTTTTTCCCTTTTTTTATAATAAAAATGTGGATTCTTATTGAGACTGCCTCCTGTGAGAAGATGACTTTGGAGCAGTGATTTTATAGCCTGCCATGGCTATTGTTTTCATATCAAAGCAATACAATCAAGCTTTAAAGTGACTTGTCATCAGTGACTATTACATTTGTTCAGTAGCCTTTAAAATATAAGTGGGATACTTTAAGTAAAATGGTGGCGCTGGTTAATAGTAAGGTAATGCATACATTATCAGGTGAACATTTCTGTGGAATTACTGCTTTATGGAGTGGACGTACTCCAGCCACAGCAGCAAAGGATAATGAGTTTTTTTCAACAAATTCTGAGGCCCAAACGTCTTCCTAAAAGGGTGTTGGAGAAGTAGACAGAGACTCTGGTCCATCTCAACATACAGGTAGCCCTCAGGTAACCATGGGAATTGGGACAGGAATTTCCATTGCTAAGCAACAAGATTGTAACGCCCAAAGTCATGTGATTGTGATGCTTAACAATGGAGATTCTGATATTTCTGGTTGCTATTGTTAAGTATACCACTGAGGGTCATTAGGTGAGGTGATCATATTGTCGCCATTTGTGACTTCCTGCTGGTTTCCCCATTGACTGTGCTTGTAGGAAGCTGGCAAAAGTCGCAAATGATTGCATGATCAAGGGATGCTGTGATGCCATAATTATGAGCTGGGCACCCGGATCGCAATCACATGTGCATCAGAGATGCTGCAACTGATCTAAGTGTGAGGACTGATCAAAACTACTACTCATCCAACAGTGTTGTAAGTTCAAATGGTTGCTGAATAACAATAGCAACAGCACTTAGACTTATATACTGCTTCACAGTGCTTGACAACCCTCTCTAAGCGGTTTACAGAGTCAGCCTATTGCCCCCAACAATCTGGGCCCTCATTTTACCCACCTTGGAAGGATGGAAGGATGGAGCAACCTTGAGCCAGTGAGACCCGAACTGCCAAACTGCAGTAGCCTGCAGTAGTGCATTCTAACTGCTGCACCACTGCAGCTCTTAAGTGGTCATTAAAAAAGGATCATCTCTGTAGTTTACATTAGCTGGTCAAAGGCAATTTTAATAATCCAGTTGATATTGGAGACCAAATTTCGGTTCTGAAAGAACAGGTTTCTGTTCGCGTAAACTCAAGTATGGCAGTTTGGAGCAACTATAGCTTTCAGTTTAAATTCAGAAAAACAACTGCCGCTTCATCTCCAGAGGCCACTGCTTGGTTTTTAAGAAAAAGAATTGATGCAAGATTCTCTGTTTTGCTGCTGTTGCCAAATTTGGCAATCAGTAATAGCCCGTGGGTTACTGAGAGACGTTTTATTGCTGCATTACGTGTAGGCTCCAGGATCTGCACTACCTATTTGCTTCCTAGCTGATTTTCATTGTCTACCTCAGAGTTGAGAGTTTTAGAGCCTTAAATAGCTTGGGGGCCATTTAGATTGCCTCTCCTAGTCTGTTCTGATCCAGCTTTCAATATTTCAGGAGGAGGCTTTAGCCATGATGGACAATATTCATGAGTCCGTCATGAATATTCTATGCAAAGGCCTCATCAAGTATGGCTCCTTGTCAGGAATGTCCACCTTTCTAAGTGCATTAGGAATGACAGGCAAGTCAGCTTCATTAGTTGCTCATCGCACATCTTTCCGCCCAAAATCTGAAATCCTTTTGATGTTCATGGTTTTGAAAGTGTAGGGTTTTAAATCACCAGGCTAATGTTTTCGATTTCTAATGCTGCAAATTTGCTTTCTTCTGTAATATCCTCTAGGATGCTCTACAATCAAAATTTAGTAATCCAGTCTGTTCTCATCATTTGCACTGAACGACAATAATGATACCCTCTAGTATGGAAAATGGACCAAGACGCCATATGACTTTCTGATTTCATACTTCTTCTCTGACTTAACAGCCAGAGGAAGTCAGTAAATTCTGGGTTGTGTCGACTGGCACTTGGCAGATAAAGGCTGCCCACAAGCTAACAGACGTTCCAGGGAACATCTTGAAGAAGCACCGGTGGTCGTTTTCTCTGAAAAGCAGTAAGGATTTGGACCCCAAAGGAATCTGTTTAATTTTCTCTATGACTGGCAAGTATTTCTCACTGAGACCAACACTAAGGAACAATTTAACCACTGGTGAAATATGAAAATTACAAACCAACATTAACAAGTCAAACCAAGCTGCTAGGACAGTGCAATATTGCCATTAGAGAAACGATGTCAAAAGCTGAAATAAATACTATTAAAAAAAAGTACTACACCAGCCAATTCATACAAACAGAGAAATTGTTGCAAACCACAGTTTAGACAACAATGAAATGAATTTTATATGAAACAGCTATGTATGTCATCTGAAGAAAAAGAAAGAGAAGAGAAGAGTTCAGTTTTATGGCAGGAAAGAAACTAGATGCTATCTGGTCTTATACCTTCAAACAGAGGGAGCAGGACTTAGATGTCTTTGATCTAGTAACACTACACAAGGCAACCTAACAATACATACAGTTAAGAAGCCAGATACAAACTCCCCACCAATTCAAGATATTAATTTTTACAACTGGTTCTGTGGGTGTGGCTAGGTGGGAGTGGCCACGTGACTAGGTAGGCATGGGTTTTTTTTGCAGCACCCCCCCCCCACCATGCTCCATTTTTTTGCTTCCTGGGCCTCAGGGAAGCCTCCTGGGTGAAGCAGTAAGGCAGGGAGGGGGATCCCAGCACAGCTGATTGTTGGAATAGCTGATCATCGGGAGGAAAAAAAATGAGAAATACCATAAGGAGTGACTGGGTGGGGGCGGAGCAGGCAAGACTGCAGTCAGCGATGTCATGCATGCACACGATGCCATGCATGGTTGTAGCCCAATGTTCATTACCATGAATTGAGAACCATTAAATACAATGAAAACATATTTTTGAGTAAACATTCATGGAACCGGACTGTTTAACCTCGAGTTCACAAAGATTTCAAGTGACAGGACTTCTATCTATGACATTTCTTAAATGCGAAGAAGCATGCTGGATGCAGGAATGATGGACTGGATTGTTTTTCTTTTTTAGGGATTACAGAGTCTACAAACCCAGCAGATGTAAATTTCAGCATAAGCCAGAAACAGGAATTGTGGATTCTGATGCCATTTGGTAGCAACCTTCTACTAGGTTGGAGTCTCTTTCCAATGCAATTACTTGCATTGCCTAAGACTCAGCAGGCAACCCTACATAGCCTTTCCAGCTATAAAAATGCTTGTGGTTGAAATTGTACCAAAGAAAAACTTTGACAATTTTTTCAGAATCATAATGGAAAGATCTGACAATATCAGAAATATCTACATATATAAAAATCTATTGTGTCAGAATATTGTTGATTTTGAAAAGCAACTTGTTGGTAGGAAAAGTGACTAATTGGGAGATGACATATATTCTTTCCAAATATACAAATATTTCCCTTGAAAGTTAAGCGTCAGAAAGACATCTTCCAACCACTGGACTAGCCTGGATCACTAAATTATACAGATTTCATTCTTTCTACTTTCATCAATATAAAACTTGCTGCCAAAATAACATACAAACATATAATCAAGGAAGACAGGGACAAAGGAATACATTTATATATATGAAGACATACTTAGCTCTCTAATACTATTGCTTTTAGCCTTTATTTGATTTTTTTGTGCAAAATAAAAATATCCTTTTGCTATAGAAGAGAATATAAATATTTCAGGATTGCACTGTGGAGTCATTGGTGTGTAGCACATGGCATCACCATAGCATGCAAATCAACTAGAGGCCAGTACATCTTAAGTAAGCTAAAAGATCCCTGAAGGGAAAAATAATTCCAAGAGCCACCTACAGTATAGAGTATAAGAACTGTAACAGTCACTATGTAAGAGAGTTGGGCAGAAAATTAGTAGAGCACACATCCATAAGCACCAAATAGAATTCAGAAGATATGATGAAACTCCTTAATCTCATAATACATAGACAGACTAAACTATAATTTCAACTGGGAAACTGTGAGCATCTTAGTCCAAGCAAAATATAAAAAAACACTAGAGAATTCCTGTAACTTTGGCATTCAGACAAATGAGCCATCACCAGACACATAGAGATAAGCCACATTTACACACTATTCAAAATAGATGATAAAAAAACAGTAGACCAGAACACCCCCTTTCCAGCATCCTACACACAGATGAACAGGGATTAACATAAGTCAATCAACCCAGCAGAAAACAATATCCTAATGAAGAAACTACTGAACAGAAAACCATTTTTACACTATCCAATAACCAGAGTTCTGTGAGTGGCATTACAATTCATGGGTACCTCTATATCTCTGGGGAAAGAGACAAAACAAGAAAAAGCATATTGATTGCAGTCAAGAATTTGCTTTCTGTTAATTGCACACATGTAGAAAATAATTAAGTCTAGAGGAATTTTTTCCTCTTTGTTTTTGTGACAAATTGATATCTCAATTAAATTTTATGCTGAGCCTTAATTGCACATGAAAATGGACAGTGAAGATACCTGTTTCCTGAGAGCATCTAGGCGCTTCTTCCTTCCTTCTTCTTCCTCGACTTCCTTGAGGATTGCCTCTTTTTTCTCCAACAAACGCTTTTCCAATAGCTTTTGCCTAAACTGAACTCTTTGAACAAGAAATCAGAAAATCAATGTCTTCTCAATATTACTTTATTATTCAGCCAACTATTGGGAACAATGAAGACCTTAATTAAAGAAGCATTACAAACTGTCTTTTGCCTAGGAACCTTTATGTTACAGTGACAATACCATGCTATTCAGATTTATTCAAGGGAAAATATTAAGTTCAATAAGCATAGGATTGGACTGCAGATGTCTACATTTTGTAGTAAACATTATTTGTGTATGAATTAATAAATAATATGTCTTAAACTGTATTTAGATGGCTTATCACCCAATGCACTGATAAATTTTATTGCAATTTTCCACATCTACCATAGTTCAGATTACTAACTGATAATTGCTAATTGAGGAAGAATCACACTAAGTCAGGTCCATGCCTATAATCAAAAAACACGGCAAGCCAACTTCTGGCTTATCAAGAACATTTACCAATAGCACTTAGACTTATATACCACTTTACACTGCTTTAAAGACATCTCTAAGTGGTTTAGAGTTTGCATATTGCCCCAAATAATCTGGGTCCTCATTTTACTGACCTCAGAAGAATGGAAGGCTGAGTCAACCTTGAGCCAGTCAGGATTAAACTGCTGGCAGTGGGCAGTGAGTTAGCCCTGCAGTATTCTAACCACTGTGCCACTGTGACTCTCAACAAGTGTTTATGTACACAGGTCCTTTTTGCAAATTGCAAAGCCACTAGCTAATTTGAAAAACATTCTTATTATTGACTATATTCCCTCCTTATGTTACTAGCAAAATATCAGCCTTAATTCAAAATATTGCCATTGGATGTATGTAAGTAATTAATGAAATGATGCCTGGCTACAAATGGTTTCTATATCTTTAGATAGCTACAAAATTGGTAAAATTGCCCCTATACAAGAAATAATTCCTTTGAAACAGGGAATGATGCTTACTGCTTCATTCAGACAAATCCAATTTGCCCAGAGTCACTTTTTGGTGAGATGGGCTATATAAATAAATATAACTAAATAAATAAAAGTTAAGCAACAGTTTTAGTGTAATTTACAGTTAACTATTAAAGGTGGGTTATGTAACAATAAAATAATTCTGTTAAATCCAAGTTCCTTCTACTGGTTCAAACAATGGTATATCTAAGGTATTATTATTTTTAACTGAATATTTGGGACAGAATAGCATAGCATTTAGACTTATATACTGCTTAATATTGCTTTACAGCCCTCTCAAGAGGTTTATAGAGTCAGCATATTGCCCCAAACAATTTGGGTCCTCATTTTACCCAATAGATATCCATTACCAGCTAAGTCCTGGGAGTTAAATACCATCCCAAGCAGAATATTCTTATATAATTTCCAAAAGTAGTCGGAGGAAAACTGATAAAAAGGAGAATCCTTTCAAATGATCCAAATAAATGATCCTTATTTCCATTACTATGTCCAGGGAACTCGGCAATGTGCCTAGCTCCCTTTTTCTTGAGTTTAACTGTGTCTTCAAAATTAGATTTCATGCTGAAGTACTATGGATTAACTCGGAGACCTGAACATTGAAGATGTTCACAAAAACTTATAAAGATTATACAGGCAAGAAAACCAAATGAAGAATTCACAACGTATCTCATATGACATTTACATAATGAATATAGTCTGTGATCAACTACCCATAAAATCACAGAAACAGGCACCTGACACGTCTGTTGAGATATGCACTGGTGAGTAAGGACTTTAAATAGAACTATTTATGTTGATGCTACATAATTAATGGATCTCAAAAGCAGATCTATGAAGATAAGTTGCTCTGAAGCACTGAATTCTTCATTTCGAATCAAAAAGAAGTGCAAATAAATAGCTAGGGAGAAGGAAAACTCATAACCCTTCCTTCCTCCCATTTCCCCCTCCCCTCCCTCCTTCCCTCCCCTTCCCAAAAAATAAACAGAGTGAAAAAACTCTGACAGAGGAAGCTACAGATATTACTGTAACCTTTCCCTACTGGGCACCCTTCAAAAACGTTGGTGTTGTTGTCCATGTCAACAGAAACCGACTAAGATAATATAGCAAAGAAAACTCTAGAGGAGAAACTGAATTAAGTACATTTGATACATAGAGGCCTCCCATTTGTGTACTCATGACTGGAAGCTCCAGCAAATTCATTTTCAAAATCTCAGTGTGGGCAGAAGATTACCCGAGTCAGTCATGTGGAGGCTCAACTTCTTTCATCTGGCAATTTAGCTGGGAAAGAGAATGCCTGTTTGGATTAGACGCCAGACTAATGTAAGGGGGGAAAAAAATCGAGGGTGGGTTCCCGTGTTACATTTCAGATGCACGAAGCCGTGGGCAAATACTAACTACAAAGGCCCAACTAGTGAAAAAAGAGAAAGGGAGAGTCAGCTAGTGGGGATGGGGTCGTGGTGGTGGTGGGGGCTGAAAAGAAGTATGTTATCTGAGTTCTGCCACTGAACAGAGAAGCATGTGCTCTGTGTGAGTGTAAGCATTAGTCTGCCTGTGTGTGTGGAAAAAAAGGAGGGAGAGTGAGTTGTACACCTGTTGCTGGAAATTGCCTTGAGGATCATTTCACTAAAAAAGTATAAGCTTTCTAAATAATATGGGATGACGCCTCAAGCACAGCTATGTGGAGTTGGATGTTGCAGTATCTGATGTGAAATGGAAGCTAATGAAGGCTGGCTGTTCCTTTTGGAAGAGAAAGAAAACATTTTTTAAAAAAAAACCTTTTATGCATAAAAGAATTAAACACTATGTCTCAAACAATTATCACTCTCTCTTTACTTAATTGCAGTCGTTCATCATTCTCAGAGAGTCACCTCAGCCCATGGATTTTGGACTTTGGCATTATTAGAGAACCATTTAATTGAAATGGTTAAAACCATTTAAGCATCCCCGAAGAAACCAAAATGTGTAGGCCATGTTCATCACTGAAGTATCATCAGCTGGTTTTTAATTTTTTAGGAAGTGAAGCTGACTTTGGTAAGCTTCAGACAAAATCTTTAGGTAGGACTTTAATCTCCCAATGAACTGACGACATACGCGGGAACGCCGGAAACTGGAACAGCAGCTCGCCGGCGCATGTGTGCGCCAGGAAACTGAGCTTTTGGTTTCTGGCACGCACATGTGCTCTGATCACCTAGTCTTCCAGTTTGGCCAGTGTGCATGTGCATGCTGAAAACTGGAAGCTCAGTTTCCTGGTGCTCACATGCGCGCCGGGGAGCTGCTCTTCCGGTTTCCTGTGCTCCCATGCGTGCGAAGCAGTGGTGGAATTCAATTTTTTTTATTACTGATTCTGTGGGTGTGGCTTATTTGGTGGGTGTGGCTTGTGGTCATGTGACTGGGTGGGCATGGCCAACTCAATGTCACTCACATCAAGGGGTGCCTCACCTGGCCCCTCCCCTCCCAGCCATTCCTTGTCACCCAGCCTCAACTTATCTATAGTTCTGTAAAAATGTTGTTCACCTTTTTTGACTTTATTATCTGCATACTATAGATGTACTTTCATGGACCACTGAAAGGAGGAAATGGCTCACATGCTTTACCCAAGAGTGTGATAGGCAACAGGCTTTTAAGGGGCTGCCACAAAGAAAGGGGGACAATGTATTTTCCAAAGAAGCAGAATGCAAACAAGAAGCAATGGGTGGAAACTGAACAGAGAGAAGCAACCTAAAACTAGGGAGAAACTTCCGGACAGTGAGAACAATTTACCAGTGGAACTGCCTGCCTCCAGAAGTTCTGGGTGCTCCATCACTGGAAGTTTTTAAGAAAAGACCGGACAGCCATTTCTCTGAAATGGTATAGGGTTCACCCCAAGGTCCCTTCTAAGTATTATTCTGACACCTTTCCCAGGACTTCTACTCAGAGTTTGGCATCCTCAGTTTTCTTGCCTGAGCTGTGGGTTGGGCTAGAAGACCTCCAAGGTCCCTTTCAACTCTTGTTAAACACAGGTATATTTTATGCTCTGGACTATTGACATTGAATGCATGTAAACCCTGAAAAATATGTGGTAGCCCTAGGCAAAAGAAAGGCAGAAAAATCACTCTAGGTGTAGGGACAGTGTAAAATATTAACACATGATAAATAATGGAACAATTAAAAATAATAGCACAGAGTTTTATCTCTCTCTTTCTATTTTTTTATTTTCTTTCTCTACCTTCCCCTGCCTCTCTCTCACACATACACACACACACAGAGCACTTAACAGACAAGCATTTTGGAAGCAGCTCCTTTAAATTTCTCCAAGGCTGGAGTGGATTCCCCCACCCCCTCTGTCAGACCGCACTCCTTCTCACTCCAGACACTTTAACTCACAAGGGGAAAGTGATACTTGCAGCGTCCATGCCTTTCTTCCTTTCCCCCGGGGAGAAAGAGGACATGAGGAACAGAAAGCTAGGAGAACGATCGCAAGTGAGCGACCGGGTTGGGGGCGTGGCCAGCCAGGGATTGCCACCGGTTCGGCGACCCATGCCAATTAACTGCTACCGGTTCTCCTGAAAAGGTGTGAACCGGTTGAATAGAACCTCTGGTGTGAAGGCCAGCTAACCGGTGTGCATGCGTGTGCCTGAACCAGGAAGAATGGGTGACAGCTGACGTGCCAGGAGAGATGACTCTGTGTGCCACTTCCAGCAAGCATGCCATAGATTTGCCATCACAGGTCTAGTGTTTAAGGCACCCGTAAAGGTGAAAGCAAGAGTTCTAGTTCTGCCTTAGCCATTCAAACCAGCTGGGAGAGTTGGGCTAGTCCTTCTCTCTCTGCCCAACTCACCTCAAAGGCTGCCGTTATGGGGGCAAATAGCAGGAGGAAGGTGTGTTGGATAAGTTCACCACCTTGATTTATTTATAAAAATAGTAAAGGCAGTATATAAATAAATAAAATTAAGGAATGACCGATGTAATACTAAGTCTAAGAACGCTCTAAGCTTTCCTGAAATAGTTGTTCCAATGTTGGATTCATGGATGTGAACCATGAACTGTCCAATTCTGTAGGATTCAGGGCCTGCTCACTCCTTTTCCCCTCACCTGTCCGGTGCTTTCCAAATCGGAGAAATCTCAACCAGCGGGAAACCATAAAAGGAGCATGATGAGAACTGGTCTAGAGTTGACTCTGATGCATTTAGGCTCCTCAGGTTTCTTAACTTTTCCCATCCTCCATCTCTGGAGCAGTGGTGGGATTCAAATTTTTTTGTACCGGTTCTGTGGGCGTGGCTTGGTGGGCGTGGCAGAGGAAGGATACTGTAAAATCTCCAGTCAGAGGTGGGATTTGCCGGTTCTCCAAACTACTCAAAATTTCCACTACCGGTTCTCCAGAACCTGCTGCATACCACCTCTCCCTGGAGGTAATTTAAATGAGACATTTGCCTCATAGAACTGGCTGGAGCAAGGGTGTCAAACTCACATCGTCATGGTGACATCATGTGACATACCAGGACTTTTTTTCCATTTGCTAAACCAGGCATGGATGTGGCTAGCACATGACGCATCCAGACCGTGGGCTGGGAGTTTGACAGCCCTGGGCTGGAGGGTCCTAACTGAAACTGAGAGAATTTGAAAGCACATAATGATGGATTTACACTAGAAAGTGATCTCTAACCTCCTGCTAATGACAGAATACTTGCATAAGATTTAAAGAAAAGGCAGCTTAACTACATATCACTGATGAGAGTCACTATCTCCAAAGCAATCTGTTAAATATTCAGCAATACTGCTGAATAGCCTATATAATCAGAAATTCATTCCTTAGATTTAAACTTAAATCCCTCGTTAGAAATTGAAAATGAGGTCCTATCCCACTGAAGTAGAGAGAAGATATTTGTTTTATGGAACAGCCCTTCTAAAATAGCTGGATGCTACAGATCTATAGCTATAGATTTATATAGCTCAATTATATAAACTATAATTGAGTTATAGCAGAAGAAATCCTACTGCTTGTAATCTTGGAGAAAACAATTGCTGGTCATGGTTCATAGCACTGGGATAGATGGAAGAATAACACAAATAGAAAGACCCATGTTCATGCAAGGACATGGTAAATTGATTGAAGGTAAGTACCTACAGGAAGATATCCAGTGATCCTGGATTATGATTCTTTACATAAATTCTATGCAGTACTATGCAAAATTTACCAGTATGTGGGTTCAGTTTTACATCAGTAGAAGGTTGATATACAAAGGTATACAAATCATTTTGAAACTGAAATATTTCAAGCCCAAAACTTTGAGTTAAACACACCTGTTTGTAATTTAAAAAAAAAAGCTGTCCAGCCTTATCGAGACCATTCCAAGATCACCATGTGTTTAATATTTGAAACTTACTACATATCTTTATTGGTATGAATGGAACAGACTTAAGTAGGCCAAAGTAAAACCCTATCCTACAACACTACTTGTATCTTAGTACAATGGCACTTACTCTTAAGATACTGTACAGTACATATGATATCAGACTGAATGCATTTAATATTTTCTTTCCTTCTAGACAAGATTTTTGATACAGAATTACTCTGCCTGATTCATGGCATTTTTACTAGGAGCCAAAATAATACCTTTTTGTATGTGTAACTACTATAACGTTTTCCCACCGTTTCTCCTGTGTCTTTTCATCCCAAATCCATTAAAGATGAAAGAAACCATCTTTTGATAAGGAGTTTCAGGAACGTTCTGTTTAAAACCACATTGTGCTTTTGAGCATTATAAGATAAATAAAATAGCCATACTTTTAAAAGAAAATGTAATTAAATGTTATCTCCAAGTAGATTTCTCTTTTTTTCCTGATACATTTACCTCTCTTTGTCTTTAATGATCTGCTCAGCCATTAATTTCTTACATTCCGCCAGACGCAGGAGGTCTTTTGCTTCCCTCTCTTGCCACTTGCGCTGTTTTTCAGCCCAGTATTTTTTCACCTAAGAATACAAAGTCATTAAAAATCTGGGAGGGGAGAGGGGAAGGAGAAACTTAACAGTGGCTAATCACTACCTTGGTATCTATAAAAACAGTTTCACTGGTTCATGCCATACCGATATCCATTTGACTTCCCAATCCACAATCTCAAACACAAATAAGAAAAGCTGGTTTGAAGACTTGCTATTCTGAACTTATTACAACGCTATGTTTTCTTTTCATCTCCTCTTTCGGGCACAGGTTTATAGTATTATGTCTTTGCACGTATCATATATAGTGTTGTATCATGGCACATATCAAAAATACTATCTCAAAATTCAGAAACCTGACTATACTGGGGGGTGGGGGGTGGGGGAACCCTTAATATTTAAAAGCTTATAACAGTAAATTCCAAAGGTCATCCCAACAAAGGGAATGCTAGATGAGAGTTTGTGAATGAAATTGCCACAGAAACAGAATGATGGCCAATTGGATGTTTTTCTTTGTCTTCTTTTAAAAATAGGCCTGGAGCAGAATGACCGTGAGCAAAAATCACAGGAGGCAGACAAAGCAAGATTGACAACATTTGGATCAGCAGCAATAAAAGCAAACAGAACTCAAGAGCCTGTACTATGAAAATATGAAAAGATACATGGAAAATGTTCCAGCATAGCTGGTAGTTTTGGTCCAATGTTTATAGAATGAATCCAACAAGTGTGGATGTGTTTGCTTTGAGCAAAGGCTAATTAACTGCACAAACATATCCTCTACTGCAGAAGAAAACAACTCACAATAGAGATAAACCAAAGGTTAATTAAATGGGAATAAACAATTCTTCTGTTGAATAAACCCAAAGGGGTGGGATATCCTATTTCTGTCTCCTATTAAACTCTTTGAATTTATTTAAAGTAATCAAGCAGCACTTTCTACAGGCTCTGTGGGCTGTCGTAGTTTGAATGCACTAGTAATAATAAAAGCTAACGTAAGAGACAATTTCCAGATATTTCCATCTCCCCAAAACTCACTGCAGCCATGCATTCAGACACTCCAGCAAAGCAGCCAGCAGCTAAACATGAGTGAATGGACCTTCACATCCACATGTGAGGCAGGGCTTTGAAAGTCCATCCTGATGCCATTTAGGCTGCCATAAATATAGGCTTGAATTCTTAAAAAGTTCAGCCAGTGATTTCACAAGGATCTGGAAACAGGCTGCTGTAAAATTTTGAGAGGTAGGAACAGAAATTTTGAGAGGTGGATCATTCCCATCCCCATCCCCACCTCCTACTGCATCCCCTCTTCATCTATTCTTTCTTCAGAGTTGCTTGTTTGGTCTACAGAAGTCAATGATCCAGTCAATTGGGGTATGTAATACAAAATGTTGGTAGTAACTTGGCAATATATTTCTGCAATGAAATCTACTGAACCATCTGATTGTATCAAAGCCTGGGCTTATGCTGTACTTTTGGTAAAAGCATTTCTATGTGTGATACAAGGAACCACTGCCTCATTCAGACTTTGCCTGTGAGACCAGGGAGCATTGGTGCATTGCAGCAGATAAGAAGACAGTTGGGATCAAGAGCTGCATTGTTGGAGCTGAATGCCAGAACAAAACAGACACATGTAGTGAGACTAGCAAGAATCTGAGGCCCTGTTGCACATGAGTTTCTGAATCATGGAATAGGAGATTTTGAAGGATATGTTTCTCTTCTCATCTGTCCCTTTGAGGGTGGGTAGAGGGAGGGAGGAGGCGGGAGGGAGAGGGAGAGGCAGAGAAAAAGGTAAGGAGAAGCTTAAAGTTAGCCACCTGATTAGAGGACAGGGAAAGAGTGATACTATATTGAGTCCTCTGGTTGCCTTCTTCAAGGTTAAGTGCTCCAACCGAGAGACCCCTCTTGAAATGACTGTGACAATAAACAGTGCAAAGATGTGCAAACAAAGCCAAAGTGGGCAGCCATCGTGGGAGGGAAGTTTGGAGGGATATTTAAGGAGCAAGAGAGTCCGTTTTATGAATACTACTCATATGAAAGCATCAACACATCTGCAAGACCAAGTTACATAGGCAAGTCATCCTCTCAATGTTTAGCCCCAAATGACTATACATGAGAGCTTATTACATTTTTTTAGACATGCTGACACCATCGCAGAATTTCATTCAAGGTTGCAAGCATATGAAAACATATTCTCTTCCTCTCTCTGAACAGAGTCTTCCAAGGTTTCATGCAAGAACACAGCAGTCTTTCAAGATTTGCCCGCATCTCATGTTACCATTACTTTATTTACAAATCCAGTGAGGGTAGGCTGCTTCAATACGTATGGTGTCTCACACTGCATCTTGGAGATGGTTCAAATAATTTTAATATAGAGAACAGAGAATAGGGAATGTTAATTCTTCCTACAGCATGGTAGCATCTGTCAGAAATTATTCCCATATTGATATTTCTCCCCCAAAAGGTAGTACTGGAACAGGCTGGAAGTGCCAATTATTACATTTCATAAAGAACTTTTTTGTTTTGTTACTCCTTCAATCTGACCTTTTTTCATAATCCCATATAAAATATTGCATAGGAATAGCCAATGATGGCAGATACTATTTCCATTATACAGCAATTAGTTCAGCAATTATCTTTGCAATTGCCAGAAAGATTGAAGGTATTGTGAACTTCAAAACTATTCTATTTCTTTCCCTGAAAACAAAAGCTGTTATTACACCTCTAGCTCATTAGATGTCTGTCTGTCTCCCTATCTACCATAGCTTGTAACACTCCTAAGAGGAGCAAAGCAGTGATTACTTTCAAAGCTCTTGATTTATAATATTTACCCTAGACAGGGAGTGAAAGATAAACCATTCAGTTAAAATTAAGGTGCCAAATATGTTTTTTGATAACAAACAAAATTAAAAGCTTTATTTAAAAAACACAATACGCATACACACACAGTTCATATTAATGTATTCAGCATTGAGGGCAAGATATATAAGTTTTCTGGTTTTATCCTGCTACTTCACAATATCAGAGTACATCTATCTTGTCCATTTTATTGAAGCTCCAACAGATTATCTCTTTTTGAAGAGTTTTCAAAGTCAGACTTACACTAGATGGCAATCTTCACTCTAAATGGGTATCTACAGATCTGCTGGGCTATTCCAACAAAAGGAAGGAGATGAACGCTGCAAACACTGATCTCTAAAAATCTCTGGTGCATATGACTCGCCAACTTTAAGATCTCTGTACAATATTTTCAAATAGAATTCTTGCATTACATTTCCAGGCCCACCTAAACCATTCATAAAATTTTCTTCTATGGGTTAATTTCAACACAGTCAATGGAACTAAAAGCTTCAAAAGGAAGCTCAAGCAACTTACATAAATGAGATGAGTGGAAACACCTATTTTGAGTTCTGAAGAGCTTATAACTCAGTTGTTCACAAAAATTAACTCATTTAAAATGAAATAATTACATTTTTAAGATAAATTTATTAGTCACATTTAGACAAAAAGGTTTCCATAAATACTGATGCTTTAGCAAAGTGATGGTTATGAGTACAGAGTTAAACCAATTGTTAAATATTACTCTTAAGTATAATATTTAACACTGACGTTTATCCATAAAGTGTTATATAATATTTAACAATTAAACATAAGTTAGGAATGCTTAACCTATATGAAGGTACCTCAAATGGGGTAACTTACTAAAATTGTCCCAAATTTGTGACCCACGATTCCTATGGAATTGAAATTTGGCAAATGTTATAATACATTTTATGATAAACATTATTATGAAACGGTTTAGGACATAATACAAAATGTCACACTGTATTTCCTCTGTTGTTGTTTAACTGTGTTATACAGTTCAATGTGGGCTATTTTCAATGCAGATAGATCTCTGAATGTATTCCAACTTTTCCAATTACAAGTTCTATCATTATTGAAAGCATTAAGGAATCTGATAAGGATTGACCCAAAAGGTCACAGGTTATGTAGTGCGTGTTTGTATGTATCTGTGTGTATACACACAGCATATATATACTGGTTTGATGTACTATTTAAGTTATCAGGCCAGAAATCAGAGACTATTAGTCCTAGTCCTGGCTTAGATGCAAAGCCAACTGAATGACCTTGGGCTAGTCACTATCTCTCAGCCCTCAGAAGGAGGAGAGAGCTAGAAGGAGGAAATTCTTGCCAAGAAAACTACAGTGACTTGTCTGGGCATTCTCCAAGAATCAGATGTGACTGAACAGTAGAAATCTATATATCTTCCAGTTATACCCACCTTTCTAATAAATATCATTGGGCATATTTTAAGTCTTACAATAAAATCTGTGCTGCTTTATTAATCGGCTTGTTATACAGAATACTGCCTAAAAGATAAATCATTCTCATAAAACATTCAAGGGTCAACAGACTTTTGGAATTCTCAGAATATAAATCCTGTTCTTGCTCTAACTTCATACTGTAGCACAGTGATAGTTCTATATAGCAAAGATACTTATGGATTTAATTGGATTTATTCATTTTAATAAGGTCTAGTTGGCTTTACATTTGGTATATATAATCTGAGTGGGGTTTTTAATGATAATTTCATATGATCTGCTGAATGATGATGACTCAGAAAAAAGTAAAAATAATGTTGAATTTGATCTTCTGCTAGGATTCCAGATTGTTTATATATTTTAAAAGGAGAGTACCCTCCCAGTCTGGAATTTTTGAGTAGAGTTACCGTTTTAAGGCTCCTAGTATCTACTGAGCATTGTCTACACCAGGGATGTCAAACTCAATTTCATTGAGTGCTACATCAAGGTTATGTTTGACTTCGGGGGGTTGGGGTGGGCATGACCATCCTGATGTCACTCGTGTCGAAGATGCCTGTAGTGTCCTGAATGCTCTGCCAGTGAAAACAGGCTCCCAAGCTCTGTTTTTGACCGCAACAGCCTCCTGCAGCCCTCTGCCAGTGAAAATGGAGCTCAGGTGGGCCAAGTGTGCCCCTCCTGGGCCCTGTTTTTGGCTGCAATGGCCTCCTGCAGCCCTCCCCATGTTCTGTTTTCACTGGCAGAGGCACTGAGGGCCATTCCTTCATTGTTTCCAGGGCAACCCTGTTGGCTAGATCTAAGCACCCCACAGGCCAGATCCAGCCCTTGGGCCTTGAGTTTGACACCCCTGGTCTATACCTATACAGCCTCTTGGTTAGTATCTATGGAGGTTGCTTTAATCTTCCATGCTGCTACCATGTCAAGCAGCCCTAAAATTCTTTTCCATTAAAAAAGTAATGTGCTATATATGTGGTGGGGAGACAGACAGTATGAATAGCTGACTTTTGCCTTCATAAAGAAATGACTGATTCCTATGGAAATAATATTATTTGGAAAATTACAGACACATCCATTCTACTTAAAGAGCAACAAAAGGATAATTCCTGCCAGGAGTGAATACAAATCCCCCAAATAATCAGTGGCAACTCAGTCTTAGGGCATATGCACTTTTCACTGTGGCAGAACTAGACACAGGTTTTAAAATTCAAAATAATCAAATTCAGTCTGGCCATATGGGCTATAAGTTGGTGAAGTGGTTTATTTTGTATGATAGTGCAAAACCTATACTGATCAAGACAGAATGTGAAGCCTATAAAACAGTTAGAAAATTTATATGTCATGCTACAGCATTAGAATGCTGATCATAATAATATGTATTAATGAGGTATGCATAATCTTAAATGTGGAACTCCATAACCTAGCAATAGTACAGACATAACCATAAAGTCCCTCTATAACAGGAGTATCAAACTCAATTTCATTGAGAGCCGCATCAGGGCTGTGGTGGACCGCATCAGGGCTGGGCAGGTGTGGCCGACTGGGTGGGCATGACCATCTAGATGCCAGACACTGGGTGCGGCCAACTGGGTGGGCATGACCATCTAGATGCCAGACACTGGGTGTGGCTGACTGGGTGGTCATGGGCAGCTGGATGGACGTGGCCAGCTTGTTGCCAGTCCCCAAACTCCTGGCATGTTTCCTCTTTGCATTGGGTAGACTGGGCCAAAGTGACGCGGGTAGACTGGGCTGAAGCAACCTCAATGCCAAGATGTGAGGAATTTGGCATTTTTTGTGAGATTGCAGCTTTTAATTAATGATCTTTAAAATGTACAATTTATGAGAGGTCCTATGGACAACACTTCACACTTTCAGGTGGTTGCACTACCACCAAAGTTCCCAAAGTATATTCTGGATAAAGTTAAATCTAGTTCACTTCATAGCCACGTGAACAAAATAAGAATGAAAAAACTTGCTAGTCTGAGCAAGCTGGAAAAGCAGTAAGGGCGCTTCGTGTAGAGGGCTCAAATAATTATTTATTTATAAAATTTATATTATATCATATATAATATGCCATAATTATATTATATTATTATACCACCATATCTGTAAAAAAAAAACCATCTCTTTTCCCATCAAAAAATATCTCTTAGATATATTTGGAGAAATCTAAATTGTCCATGAAGCAATATAAAAAACCAAATCAGTCAAAAAGTGCCAACGTGCATTAAAAAAATGCTTCCACATATCCTGGGATTCAAGCCATGAAAGCAAAAATTATTCTTTAATCCTGAATATATGCACTATCTCTATAAAGGTAGCTTTAGAAATGATAATAAAATTGCAGTCAGGAGATTTTCTTATTGCCGTTCTTTTCTCCTCTTCTGAAAAATCTGGTTTAATGTTTCATTAGAATAAATGCTGGGTTTTTCAGGATGGAGTACCATTTTTTTTTGCCTCCAAATAGACATATGATTGCTTTTTCCTTCACTAGTGAATTCATTTGTGAAAGAGGAAATTCTTTGCATCCACTAATCATATTTATTTCAGTGAGTCTTGAAAAAAGTGATACAGGCAGTCCTTCTAAAAAAAAAGGATTACTTATAGTCAACCTTCACCCTCTCCTCAAATGAAAAAAAAAAAGAATAAGTCACATAAAATAAAATAAAACATTTCACCTGATTTTATTTTATTTTATAACTTATCGGGCAATAAAAACACTGAACTGTACTGTGAGAGCCCGGGAATCCCACTCTGAAAGGCTGCTTTTAAACAAGGCATCTGACCCTTAAAATGTAGAAGATGACGTTTAGTCAAAAATAATAATAATAATAATAATTTCACTTAATAGCTCCCATTGTAGTAATGGTATTCGGAGGAGCAATATAATACATGCTGTGATTTCAACGATCCCTCCTTTTCATTCCCCTCCCCGTCTCCGAGGCTGCTGATCACTTGCCTTCTGGATTCTGCTTCTCCAAGGATCAGAAAAAGGAAAGCTAATGCAAACAGACTTCCTGAGACCCACTTCAAGCTTCTCCCCCTAGCCCTGCTTGCTGGGCATCGGGCCCACTGTTCCCTGAAGCAGTCTCTGCGACGCTTCATTTGCTTTGTGTAGGCATTACCCCAGGAAAGCTTATTTGGTGCATTGCAGCATACCTTGCTGCTGCATTGCAAACCACTCTGGTCTTTGCCACGGTTGCTCTTGACAGCAAAAATCTGCCTCTTGCTGGCTTCTCTGCTCTCTCTCTCTCTCTCTCTGAGAGAGTACAGTAGGCATATGCCTGAAAGCGTGCTCTTCATAATAAGGACGTTTTTTTCCCCCGATGGGCGGGGGGGAGTGGGGCGGGGAGACTTAACATGGCTGTGAAAAAGTCAAGAGTTTTTCAAAACTGCAAAATATACTGGCCTGGCTGATATCCACTAAGCACTCATTAATCTCTGTAATAATCCTTAAGACTGCTTACAAGGGTATAAAGTATCCAGATCAATTAACGTTTTAAATATATTAAAGCATTTAAAGTGCACAGGCACACACGCGCGCGCACACATGCATGCACATAAACACGCAGACAGACAGATTGCCTACTTTTTCTTTATCCTCAGCTCTTTGAAGCAATTCTTTCTCTTTCGCAAACTTCTCCTTTTCGTCTTCTTCTTCTTTTCTTCGGGCGGCAATTGCAGCTTCCAGCCGGGCAGCCTCCTCTTGTTGGGCACGCCACAACAGCACCTTCAGACAAATTGAGACAATCGCTCTGTTCAGTCAGCAACCCCAAAATTTCTATTTGCTCATGTTTTAGCAGTTTGCCCCAACCCACTAGTGGAAGACAGCCCAATTCACTTTGGGTGAATGTGTTTCCATGTTTGACGTTTCCCTACCACTCTGGACAGCCACCACTCTCACTCCTTTTTACAAACCTTGCACAAATCAATCTCTCTCTCTCTCTCTCTCTCTCTCTTTCTCTCTCTCTCTGCCGAAACGTTGCTGCAACTTTAAAAGCACAACTACAATGATGTGGGAAAATACCTGAACAAAGCTGAATACCATACATGTAAGTACCCGCGAAAACTTAAGAATATATATATATATATATAGTGGTTTTAGACAGTTGCAGCTATCATCTTCACCTTTTTGACCACCCACTCCTGTGCATACTTCCAACGCTTGTTAACCTGCTTTCTCGTGGTAGCAGGTGTGTTCTGGATTCAGGGAGTGAAGAAAGCAATTGAGTATAACATCTTTGCAGGATCACCCTCGGTGTGAAGGTCATGCCAGCTACCTGGCTAAAGCAAGAAGGCACTTCTTTAAGGCAGCAACAGTACAGATAGTCCTAACCTTACAACCACAATGGAGCCCCAAATTTCTATTGCTAAGCAAGGTAGTTGTTAAGTGAGCTGTGCCCCAAAGGTTGATGAGCTTTACAGTCACATTCAATCTGAAATAGACAGAACATGCAAAGCAAGATGTGTTCCAATATCTCAGGGGCTGCCACAAAGAAGAGGGAGTCAAGCTATTCTCCAAAGCGCCTGAGGGCAGGACAAGAAGCACCAGATGGAAACTAATCAAGGAGAGAAGCAACCTAGAACTAAGGAGGAGTTTCCCAACAGTTAGAACAATTAATCAGTGGAACAACTTGACTCCAGAATGCCCCAACACTGGAAGTTTTTAAGAAGATGTTGGATAACCATTTGTCTGAAGTGGTGTGGGGTTCCCTGCCTAGGCAGGGGGTTGGACTAGAAGACCTCCAAGTTCCCTTCCAACTCTGTTATTCTATTCTATTCTAAGGTGTGCTGTTTGTTGCTGGAGACTGGAATGCCAAAGGTTGGAAATATTAAAGAGGAAACCATAATTTGACTATATGGCCTAGGGAATTGAAATAAAGCAAGACAGCTTTGCAATTTTTACTAATCCAATGATCTTTTTTCATTGCTAACAATGTCTTCAAACCTCTTCAACCAACACAATCTATGCAAAGGATAAGCCTACCAAATATCAGAAACATCTCAGAAACAATTATCAGACTGTTACAATCTGTTCTATAGGAGAGAATATATGTTGCTCAGAGTTGAACTGTAGAGTCCTTGATTACTACATGGCATCACCATAGCACACTAACTAAAGTCCTGCAAAGCATCTTACCTAAACCAAAAGATCCAATAGCTGAAGAAGAAAAAACAGGAGTCATCTACAACATATAGACTGTAGAGACTGTAAGGACCATTACAGCCACTATGGAGGACAGACAAGCAGAAGATTAGCAGAGCACATCCATGAACACCAACCAACAGTCAGAAGACATGATAAAATTCCTTAACCTCACAACACATGGACAGACTCAATCATAGCTTCAACTGGTAAACTGTGATCCTAGACTAAAGTGAACATGGCTATAGAATTCCTAGAAGTTTGATACCCAAACACATCAGCCATCAATAGACACATAGAGATAAATCACATTTATACACCACTCAAAAGAGAAAATGAAAAAGCTAAGAAACAAACACACTATTTCAAGCATTCTACACCAAGATAAGCTGGAATTAATACCAGACAATCAACCAAGCAGAAAACAATACCTTAATAAAGGATCTACAAGGAAGCAAACAATTAAGCAGATAAACAATCAAGGAGAAAACAATAGCCTAATCAAGGAACCACTGAGGAGAAAATCAACCTCCATCAACACTGGCAGGAAACAAACTCCATACCCATTAGCACGGATGATGTTATCTAGTCAGGTACTGAAACAAGCAAGCAAGCAAGCTTCTTCATGGAGCAGCAAGAAATTCACAATTCACTCCCTTTCTCTTCTATTGATATAAAAAAGAATTGAAAAGAAATCAAAATCTACAATAATATTTCAATGAATAAGAGCTGTCAGAAATAAAAGCAATCTAAAGTTGGTTTATTTGACCAAAATTAAAATCACACACACACACACACACACACACACACACACACACACACACACACAGTTCTGTCAACCTGTAGAGATTTCTTGCTGACCCAAGGATTGAAACATTGATCTTTGATGGCTTTGTTATAAATAACATAGGATATGGCATGAAGAGATATCTGTCTGTAACCTTATAGGAGGTGAGCAGTTAGTAAATTTGTCTACACTTATTGTTATGAAAGTTAGAAGTCACTTCTTCATATATATATTTTCTTTCCATCAGATTCTTCTTCTTATTTCTTGCACTTTTAATTCTTTCTTACTATTATTTTTCTTTCTAGAAGTTTAGTTTCAGTTTTCACTATTGTAATCAAAATCTTTAATTAAAAAATGATATACCAGGAGAATTAGTGCTGGATATGAAGGAGAAGCTCATTCACAAGTCTATTGAGAAGTGAAAAAGGTTTTCACATGGAAATGGACTACGATTGGCTACAAAAGTTAAAGAACTTGTGTGTGTGTGTGGAGAAATATTTTAAAAGCTAAGAAATAGTTAAGATAGGAAAACATAGTGTTACAAAACATAGGAACATAGATGTAGAGATTTATACATTAAATAAGATGCAGGGGTGGGATTCAAATTTCTTAACCGGTTCTGTGGATATGCCCTAATTTGTGGGTGTGGCTTGGTGGCCATGTGACTGGGTGGGCATGGCTTGCTGACTGGGCAGGGCTTGGTGGTCATGTGACTGGGTGGGTGTGGCTTTATGTAAATATTGTAAATATTTATGTAAATGTTGAATTTTTTATTTAAAAAAGAGCAACTTTTACCCTCGTTTTGGGCAACAAAAAAGAGCAACTTTTACCCAAAACGAGGGCAAAGCAGGCAGGCAGATTGAGTTGCGTGCAGAATCCCAGAGTCACTCGCAGATCTACCTTTCTGCAATCTGCTGCCTGAGTCTGCACTGAAAAACAGAAGCTACAGTCCTAAGAAAGGTTCAGCTCTGCTCTCAGGCCAGTGGTGCGATTTGCTGGTTCTCCGAACTGTGCAGAATCATAACAACTGGTTCTGTAGAACTGGTCCGAACTGGTAGAATCCCACCCCTGATAAGATATCAATAGTTGTGGACATATAAACAGCAGAATAACATAGGTAGGAAAACAGAAATGAGCATAGGTAGGAAAATAGAAATGAGCATAGAATTAGTATTAACTTTAGAAGTACAGAATAGGAGTGTAATTTTGTACAATACAACCATTTTTGTGGGAAAAACAAATGCAGACTTTGGGTCTGTCTTTTGCACCTTATCAAGAAAAATCTGAACACAGTCATTTATAACAGGAAAGACATGGACAAGGGCTGACTGTGAAACAGACAATGAACTTCAGTTGTACAATTTCCAAGTCAAGCTAAGGTGAAGAAGAAAGTCACTCAATTTACATGGTATAATCTTGACCATCAGGGGTGGGATTCTACCAGTTCACACGTTTTCGCTAGAACCGGTTGTTAACATTCTAAGAGGTTCGGAGAGCCGGTTGTTAGAAGAAATTACTGGCCTAATCCTGTAAGGAAGGCAGGAAGGAAACATTCTGGTGTTGCTTACAGAAACTTCCTCTCCATTAACCCTTATTACATTCTTGGCAGGACTAGATTTCCTGTCTCTGGAACGTCTCTGGAGTTTTGTTCTCCTTCTTTGTTGATACTTTGCTTGTGTGGAGTGACCATTCAAAGTTACAATGGCACTGAAAAAAGTGACATATGACCATTTTGCACACTTACGACTGTTGCAGCATCCCCACAGTCATGAGAAGCCAGGCGAGGAGATGTGTGCCTCAATGTGAGTGATATTGAGTTGGCCATACCTAGCCAATAACATGACCACCAAGCCATGTCCACCCAGTCACATGACCACCAAGCCATGCCACCACCTAAGCCATGCCCACAGAACCGGTTGTTAAAAATTTTGAATCCCACTCCTGGTCACAATGGACAGATAATTACTGATTCAAGGACCTTCAAGATCAAAGTAAGAGAGAAGGAGCTTACTGAAGTTATGTAAAATAAAGATGTCAACATTGATGATACCTAAAAATATTTCCTACTTACATGAAACTCTAGTATTAGAAGAGTACATTAAATCAGCACTCTGATCATTTCCAAATTTGAAGACTACAGGAACTGGTGGAATATCTAAAAAAATATGGCAAGCAGTAGAAGAATTTACAAGGTTTCTGAGTAAACTATGTAATCAAATGTGGGAGCACAACACAGTCTGATGAACAGATTGGAATAGGTCAGTCTACATGCCAATACCAAAGAAAGGAGGCTTAATAGAGTGTACAACTATCATACAGTATCCTTAATTTGACAGGCTAGTAAAATAAGTACTAATAATAGTACTATTATAAAATATTAATCTAATCTACATCCAATGTAGATTAAAACTGTATGCAGAGAGAGATCCCAAATGTTTAAGCTAATTTTAGAAAATCCCAAGGAACACTAGACATTATTGCTGACACACCCTGGATAATTAAGAAAGCCAAAGAATAACAAAAAGAAGTAAACATGTGCTCCACTGATTATAGAAAGTAAAATTGTATCAACCATATCAAGCTGTGGAATGTCCTTAGGAAAATGGAATTCCAGTACATCTCATTGTATTCGTACAAAACCAATACTTGTCAAGAAACCACAATTCAACTAGAACATGCTAAAACAGACTGGCTGCAGTTCAGCAAAAAAAAAAAACGACACAAGACTATATACACCCTGCTTATTTATTCAGCCTACATGCTGAATATATATTGCAGGAAGCAGAATTATTAGAAA